TGGTCCTGTGGGCCAGATGCTCATTTCTACCAATTTTATACAAGAATGCATTGGAGTTACTCCCGATTTACAACCAGTGCGCAAGATAATCAGCCGTGCGAGTTGAACTAAACGCTGCACGGTTTTAATTCAGTAGTGACAATATAGCACAGGTAAGCAGGAAAAAAAACCCTCCAAAATAGCTGCTGCGCACGAATCAAACTGCCTTGGTTTTCTGAAGAAGTGTAACATAGCTCACCCTGCCCTGGCAATCATTTGATAAATATAATTACTTTGGTCAAAGCTGCTTCAAGATGAAAAAGAAAAGGAAAACTTTGCATCTTTAAATTTCTTAGGTGGAAAAAGTAGCTTGTTCTTATTTAACCAGAGGTCTGTGACATGCATCTTATTACGAAACAGCGGTTGGCATGGAATGAGGCATATGTGTTGTATTACGTCGTGTCGTGTCCCACCGAGGCAGTGACCTCATTTGCACCAGAAAGCTGTGGAAGGGCTGAGGGGCCAAATACCGTCCAAGTATGTTGCTACTTTGTCATAGTTGGCAAGCACATGCAGAATGCCAGTTTCCCCCCATTAGAATGATTACCAGTGCACTTCTACCGGAGGGCAGAAAGAAACAGAACACCAGGATAAAGGAGCTGCTGCTTCTTTTTGTTCCCCGTTCTAGTCTCCTTTGTTGTCCTGCATGCCCCTATCTCCCTTGTCTGCACCCTTCTGCTGCTGCCCAACTAAAGCAAGTTGGTCTGTAAATTACCAGGAGGGGGGCTGAAGTCAGATAGTTTGCATCACAAATTCGTAGAACCACAAACTGAAAAAAGCTGTTGAGCCGTCATTGTTTATAATTAGTTTTTGACTGAAGTCCCAGTCTGCTATAGGGAATGGTTTTATCTTTGTGTATGCGTGGGTGGGAAGAGAAAAGTGGAGAACTGAATCAAGGAACCAATCCTTATCCTGAGGGGAAGAAAGAATAGGGTAGTATAATCTAACCCCATGGGATCAAAGGTGGGGCCAACACAGACATAAACACCTTTACACTACGTTCTGTCTCCCTGATTTTGCTGATTTTAATAGTAAATAGTAAGTTGGGACAACAAAGCTCTTACCCTGCAGATGCACACCTTCTTTTCTTTTGGTCAGATGGTGATTGGCAACCCCAGTTTGTTCAGTGTCTGCAGCGTTCTCCGGTCTCTCCAGGCCTGGTGCGCTACGGTGCTTCAACCCCTGGAATAAGCTGTGTAAGAAGTTCTTCCATCACAGCTCATTTTCTTGCGGAAAAAGGGAAAAAGGGGTACAATGGCACACTGAGGCATCGAAATCCAGTTTTAACCTTGCCAAGGATTTGCCTCTAGGAAAATGGTTGTCTGGCTCCCTGAATGTGAGCAGCCACAGGACTCCAACCAAAGCACCCCATCTCGTGGCAGGAGCTGGCAATTGGGACTCTTGGCTGCTCTGCCATCAGCCCACATGTCCTAGGGAAATATCTGCAACATTTTTTGTGCCCTGGCTCCCCTAGCCGCTGATGAGCTGTAATAAAGCCTGCCTTACATCTCACAAGAATGTCAAGTGGTTTAATGCATGTTTACAAAAAGACTCAGAGATTTTTGGATGAAAGACATTCTGTAAGCACCATGTGGTTTGATGTGCTGCCATCTTGGTACCCGAAGGATAACTTTAAGGATACAAAAACCTGTATTCAGACTCTTGTGTTCTGGGAGCGCATCTGCCTGCCTGCAGAATGAAAATCTGCTCAGACCAGAATTAGCTGATGAATGAAAGAAACCCGCCTCACATATTTTAGTCTGTATTCCCAAACGCAGTGTGCTACTCGTTATATACTGCTGCACCAACAAATCATTGTCTAAAAAACCCCCGCCAACTTAAGAACAAAAAAAAAAAAATTAAGAAAAAAAAACCAACCCAAGAAGCATTCTTCTTGCAGCTGGACTATGGGCACTGAGAAGTTCCTCGTAGTCCACATACTGAAGTGCCATGCTGAAAACTGTTACATTTGTTCCAAAACACATGGTAGTCAAACAAAACAATAATAGAAAAAATGCACACTGAGATTTTTTTCTTTGGCATTTGATCATGTTCATCTGATAGCATGTTTTCATCTCAGGATAATTTAAGTATTTAAAGCCATGTGGAATTCTACTACCAAAAATTAGTTTGATTAGATTGGGATTATAGTAACTCCTAAATAGCACTTTGCTGATGAAGTTCAGTTTAGTATTTTTTCTGGAGAAATAAACCACGGATGAGATGGGATTCCTTAGGTTTTGATTTCCAGCTCCCTCTTGCAGCAGCCTGGTGGTAGAACGCATTGATTACAGTGAGCAAGCTTCACCTTAATAGTAACTGGGAGGGGAGAGGCCGCTCTGGAGAAGCTTTCTCCAACGCCTTGCTCCTCTGGTCAAAACGTTTCCTCTGACCTCCTGCCTTTTTAGGCAGTATTAGGAGTATTTCCTGCTAGCATATGTTACTTTGTCCTCCCAGTAACACTGTTCTCTAGCTGCAGCAGCCCTTCTCATCCTGCCTGCTCAAGGTGGGTGTGAGGCCTACTTGAACCTCCTGATGTCATCAGTTTTCAGTGAAGAACATGAAAAAAGGTATGCAGGGGAAAATTTTCTCCCATGACCAGGCATCTAGGCTTCCTCAAAGCCACCGCCATCTCACTGTCTGCTGGTCTTTGTTTTAGAGAACATGGGAATACCAAGAAGCTCGGGGTTTATGTGTGGGAAAGGCAGCTGGAGAGTTGCACGGGGCACTGCCCCACTCTCTTAGCCCTCAGTACAGGGTCCAGAGAGATTCACTTCGTTTTGCTGGTGGACTTGGGGTTTATGTTTCACATCTAAGCACATGATGGAATTTAATTTGTCATGGAGTGAAAGAGTCCATAACAAAACTGCATGCACTAGGCATTGATTTCTCAGCAGAAAGGCTGATCCTGTCTTCACTGGCTTACATGGGGAAGTATGATAGGAGTGGGGTTGGAAAGTTGGCAAAATGCAGGAAGTTATTATCCGACAGCTAATTGACTATTTCCGCCTTCAGATGTTTAATTTCTTTTTAATGAATGTGGGGAAGTCTTTGCAGGGAGCGCTATATTCCGCCCCCCCACCCCGAGATAATGTAGAGCAATTCCTTCCAAATCTGGTAGTGGTTTTCCAGCAGAAACAACCTCTATTTGTGCAATTGGACTCGTTAAGCACGTTGTGTCCTGGGGGACAGAGAAAAGCTCTATGGATGAAATAAGGTAACTGAGTAGAGAGTTAAAAGAATCTGTGTATTTAATTTGTAAGTTTGTGCATATTCTTATTCTTAAGCATGAAATAAAAAATCTTGTGTTTACCACTTAACGTGGGTACTCAGGAGCATTAAATAATTCTATAGACAACAAATTAATGTGACCAATTAGCATATCAAAGCTAAGCAGTTATTATTACTAAGTTAAGTGGATTGTGTCCACCCACCTTTCACTCATTTTCTGCAGGCATCTAAGCATTAGGCTGCAGAGTGTTCCAGACGGCGGCTTCTGCTTGCGCTAACTCGCTTGCTCAAGGACGTAACTTTGTGCTGAGCACACCGTTTTACATTACCTTGCTGTAATCCAAGGCTATCGACTTCAGTGGCAAATCACACGCTGACTTCAGTGATGCCAGGATGAATTCTGTAATGGCACTGTAAATTCATCTCCAACTCATTGTACGTTGCTCCATTCCTACCAGAGGTGTTCAGGATGTAAAAAGTTTAGCATATGTAACAGTGAGGCCTATTGTTTTGCACTCTTTCGAAGCAAGGAAGAAATCGAGGCGCTTTAAAATCCAGAACCATGTATCTGGTTGGAATGGAGTATCCTTGCAGAAGGCAGGAAAATTAGAAGGTATTTTGTACATTTCTTGAATCCTCCTTACACACAGAATGATTTCCTGACTTCCTCCCATTTCCTCCGTCTTTTGCAAAAGATACGCTCCTGTAATCAGCACCGGAAATGCAATGCGCCGCTTCAGCAATCAAACAAGTATCCCAGCGAGGTTACGCGTAGCAGCAGCATCGCGTTGTGCGGTTTGTAGGTACATCTGAGTTGAAAAGGTTTCTGAGCAAGCACTAACAATGAGCGTGCGAATGACAGCCTGATAGTCGGCTGTGTGGCAAGTACAAAGTCCAAAGGGGCTGAGGTCAGGTGATAAAAAGTTTGAGAAGTCAAAAAACAAAAGTGTGAGAAGGCTTGGGGAACTCCAGTACCGCTGACCTGGGAGAAAGACTGATAAAGTGCTGAACCCCTCCTGTGTCCGTCTCGTACTTGACATAGCAGGCCAATTCCTTTTGACTTCTGTTTAGCGCCAGACATTTTGGAAACTAGCGAGCACAGTCAGCCTGATTGAACAGTTTGCTCCACAATTAATCCTAGGCTGATACCTACACCGGTCGGGGGAGCTGGGATTTTCCTTGGGGAGCTGGAGTTCAGCCCCTCCTGCTGTATCTGGCCCGCGAGGAGACTTCCAAAAATTCCTCACTGCTAGAACTATATTAAAAACAAGAGAAAGGAAAACAGTAAAGCAGCAAGAGAGTTCCAGTGAGATCCAAAGGGGAAACTGTCGGTTCCCACATCTGGTTTGCAGATCTGTGGTGGTCCGGGAAGCACTTTCAGGTGGTCTCCAGAGCTGTTTCCGTCACAGTAGTAGTTCTCAAGCCCTACCGCTTCCCGCTAGTTGTAACCTAGTCTCTGAGTCTTTTAGTAATGCTAGTACTGAATGGATGAGGAGACAGCTAGGGGCCTCAGCTTTGGTTTGCCACAGATCAGATACGTAGGGCCACATTTGGACAGGTTTTCTAGTATTTAGTAGACTTTTGCTCCTCAGTGAATCTGTCTGGCTTTCAGAGGGGCTGTTGTGGAATCAGGAACTACTCAGCATGAACAAGGAGGTCAGAATCTGCCCTTTCAGCTGGAAGAATGACATCCATTAAAAGTACAGCATTTCTGTTTCACATTTTCACAGCTTTTACAACTGGGATAGAAATGTCAGCACTTCAAATTCCAGCCCAAATTACCAAGTGATTGCAGAAAATGCCTGTGGACTACTCTTCAAGAACAAAAGTGATAGGAAAATAATAAACGTGGATCCTAAGGTAAATGTCTCCCCACCCCCCAATATTGTAAATTGCCTTTATGCCATGGAGTTTGACTGCTAAACTGTTGAGTCCGATTGCAAATAGTGTGTTTATCAATACACACCTAATATTTCAGGCTTACTCAGACGTGCTGTTTGCCTTGTTAACCTGGCTGCTCTGGTCCCTGTCAGGATAAACTTAGCCCACCTTGCGTATGAGTGAGTGTGTCCAGGCCTTTCCCTTGCGATGACAAAAATCAGAACTTGAACTGACTGATAAAACCGCAAGATTTCCGAAGCAGGGTTTCTCTTGCACCCTGCCCCTTTCCCTGCCCTTTTTCCCTCCAACCAGAATGAGAAACTGTTGCCCTTACTGCCAGGACTGGCCTGCAGGCTGAGGCTGTGTCCTATTAGTTGAATTGCTGAGAAGCGCTAAGGAAAGGGAAGCGTGAGAGAGGGAACAGGCTGAGGAGGAAAGTGGGACTGACTGGATGACGTGAGGACTGAAGCATGGGAGTGTATAAGCAGGTGCATCTGGTGTGGAAAGACACTCTGTTTTACTCAGAGGATGACACACGTGCCTCTAGCGAAAAGGAAAAATTGCTAAAATGTTGGTGATGCATCCTGGGGCTGGTGGTCTCTGTATTCATCTCCTCTTAAAAATCAAATCCCTATTATGAAACATGCCTGCAGGTGGATAAAAATAAATAAATACTAGGCTACTTTGAAACAAAAGTTGCAACTTGCAGGCGGTAATATCCCAGATCCTGGCAGGGCCTGCTGAACACCAGCAAATCCAGAAAGCAGAATCAGTTCCTGCATCCAAAGCGTGGACCATCTTCCAACCCAGCACTTCTGCAGTGGTGAACTGAAACTGGCAGAATCCCTTTCCCAACGGCACACGGTCGTTATTCCACCTTAATACGAAAGATTTGAGAAGTCCTAAGGAAAGCGGCCCCATTAAGGTCATTTAGTTCTTGTAGCAGATTGAGATTGTCACCGGCACAAGGGTCAAACTTGGATTTGAAACCCTGTCCTTCACAAAAGAGAAATTTGTCACTGGGTGCATCTTCTTGTGGAGGGCTGTGTTTCTCGAACACGCAGTAAATGGTTCAGAAGGATTTACAATTGAATAAAAGAAAGGAAAATACTTGTGCCTCAGTAGTGCTATAAACTGGATGAACGTTGTGGACTCTGTGTCTCATAGATGATTGACAGCGCAAACATATGCTTTGCTTTCACCTAAGAATGGCTCTGATCTTATTATTGCTGAATTTGATTGGTCTCTACCATTTATTTACATAGCAGTTTAATCCAAAGAAAGCAAATGCTTGAATCGTACCCGGACATCCCATTTTCAGCCATAGTTGAAAGCTGATTAAATGGCCATGGGTATTTTATCTTTCGTGTTGAGCGCCGCATGGGTAATAACATTGTAGAGAGCTTCCCTCTGTAAGAAACCGACTGTGTTCCTCCGGTGCCAACCACACTTTTTAAAACTTTACAACTGAAGTCCTTGGACTATAGATTGGATGTGACAAACACACCCAGGCTTTGGTTACTGTCAAAACCGACATGAACTAAGCTGGGCAATAATTTGTTTGGGTTTCTACAGAACTAATCTAGGATGGTGGTTTCTTTGATGTGCTTCCCATGAAAGATGGTCGCATATGAATAGTAACAGTACAAAATATCAAATTATATGCATTTCAAAATAAGTGCATTGGTTTGTTAGAAATTCAAAAATGCATGCCTAAAAATGTGTTTGGTTGCATTGAAAGTGGGCCACCAGTCCAACTTCCTGCAGCTGCAGAACATCTGTAACAAATAAATAGCTCTTTAGTGTCCACGTGAAAGATCCTTGTGTGCCAAGAGCCACACGAAGAAGCGTTTGTGCGTGTGCATTGTGTCCCCCCACAGGCTGCAGGGCACAGGCCTGTGAGTCCCCGTGAGATCCATCTGGCTTTGGCTTTTCTGTAGCACTCAGTGATGGAGAACAAGCATTTGAGAAGTGCTTGGTATGGGCCAAACTGCAATCAGCACGCGTTCTCTCTCACGGGGTTTGGCTTGAACAGACTTAGTACCAGCTGCCTGATCTTTGCAAGCAGGCCTTCTCTTTGACCGGTCGACCATCCACCTGTTCCTAGTTGTATTTAGCCAAAAGAACTCTATCACTGCCTTTGCATCTGCTAAAAGCATTGGAGGAGAAATGAACTGCCTGGTGCCACGACATTAATCGTCGCTGAGAGATCCCCACATTTAGAGCTAGTTGCATTTATCAAACTTCATGCTCCGAGGGAAGAAGAAGAAAATTCATTACATGAAAAAACATGTCTTGTCTCTCTCCTGACTGGGTCTCTGTAATATTCTGTGTTTCAGGCCTACCCAGGAGACAACACAACACGGACGGCTGTTGAAACAGATCTGTACCTCCACATTGTTATCTATGACCATATCATCAGAAGAGGGACCTGAGGTCCATCTGTGTGGCTCTTCTCCCAGTGATTTGTTTAGCCATTTTAAAGTCATCGGGAAGAAAAATAAACAGTTGAGAGATCTTTACCTTGTGTTCAGGGTTAGGAAGGGGGATTTTTATACCGGTTTAGAGTGGGTTTGTGCCTCGTTCCTTGATGGAAGTAAAGTGGAAGGAGGACCCCGTACTGGCTGTAGAGTCTATGTATCTGGGCCCCTTGTTTGTCCATTGTGAAGTCTCTGGGCTATGTGAATTGCAAAAGCGCCTAAAGGGAAGTCGAAAGGTTTGGACCCAACTCTTCCCACTACTCCTAAGGCAGCAGGGTGGCTGGGACGGTAGTGCGGCATTCTTTCCTGGAGTGAAGACAAGAAACAACTGTCCCATAGTACCCCAGCAACAGGATGTTTTAAATTCTTCCTGGGAGACTCTTTCAGGTAGGCCTGGACCTCTGTTGAGCAGCTAACGCCATATAATATGAACAAAGCCATTCATAGGGTAGCAGGGAAAAGTTGTACCAAATAGACTGGTAAATGTAAAGAAATCTGCAGCGTTTTGACGGCATTAGTGGTTCCTCGAAGGCCGCTTTTCATCCATTCCTGCTCTTGCTGCTGTTCTAGTACCAACTTGCCAGAAGTTCAGGCAGCAACGCGACGGTCCAAGGGACTCTATTCTATTGCCGGCACACTTGGGGAAGTTGCCCGTACTTACGTGACCCAGCTGGTATAACCACCAGCATAGCTGTCTGCTTACTGGAGAACTGGAAAACGGCACAAAGCTAAGCAGCAGAAAGAACTAGCAGGAAACAAAAGCAATAATTGCAGAGAAAACAAAAAGGATGTGGAGGTAAAGGCAGAGGAAACAAAGGCAGAAAGTGGCTGGATAAAATTCCCTGGGCCTTTTATGCCTTAAGGGACTGGTTGATCTTAATGATCTTTTCTGGCCTCGGTACTGTGAATTTGTGAAAAGGACAAGTGAGGCAACTCAGACGAGAAAAGAGATGGTAGCAGCGCTGCTAGGCTTACCATAGGGTGGGGTCTATCTGCCAGCCTCATCACGAGCATGTTCCCTTTGGAAAAGGCTGAGTGCCTCGGTCTCAGCAGTTGGCGCATTAAAGATCCCTGTACTGCAAGCAGAGGGAGTGTTCCAACAATTACAAAGTGAAAGTTGTTACTTCAAAGCTGCAGTAATTTGGGAGAGACTTGGAAGCCTTTTTTTCTTTCCCATAAAACTTTTGATGTTATGAAGTTCTGCCATTTCCAAAATACAACGAGGTCTTTTACTGTAACGTGTCGCTTTTACGTAGAGCACTTCGTCCTGTAGCTCCCTGACATTTTTGCAGCAGATGGGCAAGCTGGAGGTTGGTTCGCGCGTCCCTGAACGGCAGCCGGGTGGCGGGGGAAGCACCAGAGCATGGCAAGGCTGCTCTGGGTTTCGGACCTCCTCTCCTCCAGCGGGCCTCCGTCTCCATCGCCGGGTCAGCAGAGACCCCTAGCGTAGGCGGCCGGAGGAGCCTCCCTGCCTGCTGCGGGCAGGGACCAGCACCCGCTGCCGCCCTCTGCACCCGGCTGGGTGGAAGCACCAAGCTGGGAGGCTGCTCGGGGGGCAAATGGGCGAAGGCAAATGGTGCTTCGGGTTCCCAGGGCTACCCGCAGGGAGAAGAGAAGCTCGAGACTGCTGCAACCCTTTCATTTAGCAGAGGGCCGCGCGTTGGGCGCTACGTGTCCATGAAGGGAAGACCTCGCCCTGTTAGGGCCAGCTGCTCCTGGCCTTGGTGCTCCTAGGCATTCCCCTCATTTAGCACTACCAGACGTAAAGATTTCCGTCGTTCCTTGCATCTCACCTGAGAACTAGGTTTCTCCCGTTGGCTCAGCTTTGCTTTGCTGCCCCTGTGTCTTGAGGCAGCTCAGGGGAAGGGCTAAGATGCTGACTCACAAGTGTTTTTGTAGCATTAAAGCAAAATTGCTTTTTTAGTACAGCTTGGCGTTTGGGGTATTTTTTTTTTTCAAGGAAAAAAAACAGAACTCCTGAGCCATATTGAAAACACTAGGTTTTCCGTCTCTCGAGCACCAAAGAGGGAGAAGGCCTCATTATGAAGACTGGTAGAAGGGATGATTGGTGGAAAGGGTATGAATTGTATTTTTCATTCCTCTCCACAAATGAATTGTCATTTTCCTTTCTCAATCTAATTGGATTTTTAAGTAATGTTAAAAAAAAAAAAAAGTTGGAAAGTGGTCCCTGCAGTTTGGAGAACATTATCTCAGAATCGTAATAAATAAATAAATAACATGAAGTAGGACTTAACAGAAGCACGTTTTCAACTTTAGAAGTTATTTCCAGAAATTCAGCTTCTTTTGTTGTCTTCTTACTAATCAACGCTCTTGATTCAAAAGAACAGCAGGAAGTCTAGGAGAATGCTATGTCTACATCGGCAGGAAAATGGAAGGAAATTTGGACCTAAGTGGGCTTTACGTGTTTTCAGGTCAGCGAGCACACCAATGCGCTCTATATCTCTAAAGATAGGTAACCAAAAGGCTGTAAAGATGTAGGAAGCCTCAAGTTTTGCAGTTGGTGCGGACCTCCTATGGAATTGTAATTTCATGCTATTTCTGACTCGGGCAGTAAACCTCATCTGCAACAAGAACTGTAATAGTTGCAATGAAAGAATGGTGTTCGCTGAGCAATTTGCAGAAGTACTGGCTGCTCAGTAAACTCATTTGATTCCTTCCCACCCATCCTTGCCTATGAGCTAATCTCCTGGTGGTCTGTCTCTTCTGACATTCACAACCTAGGACCCCGGAACGTTATCGTAAACGAAAGCTCCCAAGTTACATGTTACAGTCCTTTGCCAATCCTAACCGGAAGAAACTTTAGCCTCTGCCGTAAGTGAAAATCTGCCCCCAAACACTTCTGTAATCTGGCTTGCATTATAAAGAAAAGGTTCCTTTTCTTAGAGAAACAGGATAGTGCCTAAAAGCATCTAAGTGCTGTTACACTCCATTTCCCTAAAATGTCGGTGGTGGTTCTTCCCAGAATCTTGTCACTCTTCAGCCCCGGGTGGGCACACAGTGAAGTGGACGTGCAAAACATACGGTAATCGAGAGACAAGCTTTCCAACGACCGGTAACTGCACGAAAGCTTCCTGCGTATGTTCTTATGCTCTGTGACTTTTTATCGGAAACAAATGAAAACTATCCAGCCTGAAATTACTGCCTGCTGTAAACATTAAGATGAATGGAAATTTCTCCATTCTGTTCTGAAAAGACACTCTGGTATCGTCGCCGGTCATGACATTTACTGCAGGTATGGAGTCTGCATGCTGCCGTGAAGATAACTGATTTTAGGCGTGGATGGGAAAGCGCATCATTGCAAAGGATCCCCAAAACTCTAGATTTTATACAAGTGGTGGTGGTGGGGGTGTTGTGTGTTGTTGGGTTTTTTTTTTCAAGCCTGTCTAAACTGTGTACATGAGTTAACAGTCTACACATTTTATTAACCTGTATGTGGTTTGGATTCCTTCATGTTTCTTTATCTCCCCACCAAAATCATAGTTTTGTTTGTTTTTTGTGGAGTCTGGATCTTTGGTCTTGCAACGATGTTCGGAACTGTTGTTGTTGTTGTTACTTTGGATTAAACGAGTGAAGCTGAAAAGTAGCATGAGATTGGTACTGAACAGCTCCATCCTGAGCCATAAGCAGAATCACAGGAAGAGTTATTATTTAGTACAAAATACAATGCTTTGAAAAGAACAGTCATTTTACACCAAAATGTGAAGTTCTTTGCCCTTTAACTGTCACAACAGGATGCTTTGACGTAGTTACAAACTTTTCGTATTACGTGAAACGAAATTCTGGTGAGTTCACTGTGATTTTATGGAGAGGCATCAGCAGGTTTGCATTCTCTGACCAAAAGTGGTTTTATGGAAGGCCAGCGGTCTGAGGAACCCAAGCAATGGTGGTAATTAAGCTCCACTTCTGAACCTGGTAGCTGTGCAGTAAGGTATCAGCTGAGAAAACGTAGCAATGCTTCATGAACTCTTAAGTTTGTGGTTCCAGCAGCAGTCTTCCCAGTCTAGCTGCATCTTCAAAGCTGAAAGAAGGAAATGGGGGATGGCAGTGCCACATTAATAGCTGACCCGTCTCATGTAAAGAACAAGAAGATATCCGAGCAGCATACAACTTGGTCGTTAGATGTTCTCCTTTTGGCCATCAGCGAAAGAGGTTGTAGGAGAAAATTCTCCATTAACTCCCACTGCCCACATACAGAAAAGAAATCAGATTAAAAATGAATAAAACCTTTGGGCAATTCTCTGGAAGGCAGGCAGGGACAAGCAGTGCAGGCCAAGCCACTGTTCCCGCTGCAAAGAAAACAAAAACACAGGTGCTGAATGTACTGAAGCCATGCAGATTAGCCCTGTGTGCAGTACACGCTCTTTACAAGAAGAAAAAACATCGCTCTTGTTATTTGGCTATTGTTCACTTGAGGCATGTTTTATTTCAGCTCAACTGCAAGCAGAGTTATTACAGATCCCACAGCAGAAGTTCTCTGTGATGAGAGAAACATGTGATCTCCAGGCCCTAGAGAAGAAATTACGCTGGGAAGGCACCTCCAGCGGGAAGGCTGATGCTGGCCACCTGAGCAAACACCAAGTCTAGCTAGTGTAAAAAAGCAAGCATAAGGGATATGCGTAATGACTGGACACAGGAGCGGTTTGGTACAAGTTTCTCACCGTGACCCTGCCTCGCGAAAGGCTATTTTCTGTGCGCATCTCTAAGACCAAGAGCAAGGAGATTCAAAGAGAGCAAGCGCCACTTTGTTCCCCAATAAAAGGGGAGACCCGGCTCTGCATGTTGGACTTTGTGTAGTGCAATTCCAAGCACTGCTGGCTGACGTGCTGTTTAGCGTTCTCCTGCGCCGGTTATGAACTTCACCGTGTTGTACGTGGGAACGTGTGTCTATAAGGGATGTATGGGAATGATACGGCTAAGGATACGCGAGTCATTTG